ATCTCTTTTAATATAAATTTTATTTCTCAAACATACTACAAACACTCTAATATGATATATTATATATAGTTATAATTTATGAACCAATAATTTTTTATGAATATCTAATCTAAAAACAAGATAATTTAAAATAATTTACTTTCCAGAATATCACTCTAATTCTTTTCTTTCTATCCAAAATTATCAAATTGTGTGCTCTTGTTCATCTATTAAATTGTTTATTTGTCTGAAATCACGCACAAGTTACCCTAACTCTTTCAATCTGTAATTTCTTTACTTCTATAAAAAATTCTCAATATTATCTTCCATCATTTAGCAACCTTAAATTATATATTCTAAATAATTGTTCAGTTAAGTACAACATAACAAATCACATCACAAACCAATGCATAAAATCATGACATACAAGTGTGTGTTTTCTTTTAAGCAATTGCAAGTTTCCAAATACATGCAGAGTAAAGTAAGTAAAGAAAACAATACTTTTCAATTAGTAAATTTAGTATTATTAATTAATTTTTTTTTACAATTTTTATCCTTATTTTAATTGATCTAAGTGTAGAATTTTAATTTATTAACCTGGGTAAATAAATTTCCAGTTGAGAGAGTTGATAGAGTTGCAGCATTTTTAGAGAAATACCTAAAATTGAGTTTCCCTAATGTGCTATTAGTAAGATTTTTTTCATTTGTGATTTCATATATTTATTGGATAAAATGTAATAGTGTTTCAAAATCATGAATCCTTTTTTAAGTGAGAAGGTATTTTCAAAACTGCCATGTCTTTTAATGGCTTATTCTATAGGTAAGTATACTTATATACACAAGCCTCAAAATTAGTAAAACTAAAGTGACTAATAAATTTTCGAGCTTAAACTGTTTTAGGTTGGCATCAGATTACAATCGGCAAACATATATATATATATATATGAATACATATATATATGAATACATATATATATATATATACATATATATATATATATATATATATATATATATATATATATATATATATATATACATATATATATGTATATATATATATATATATATATATACATATATATATATATATATATATATATATATATATATATATATATATATATATACATATATATATATATATATATACATATATATATATATATATATATATATATATATATATATATATATATATATATATATATATATATACATATACATATATATATATATATATATATATATATATATATATATATATATATATATATATATATATATATATATATATATATATATATATATATATATGTATATATATATATATATATATGTATATATATATATATATATATATATATATATATATATATATATATATATATATATATATATATATCTATATATATATACTTTAGGGCTGTTCAGTATGCTGATTTTCAGAACATAGCTAATTGAAGTTTTTCCCATTCAACTATCATACTGTGGTTCAAAAATATTTTTTACTAAATTTTATTATTTGCCCTGAAGGTTGCTCAAAGCCCCTAAACATTTTTAAAAATTAGATTCATTTTTATAAAAAACAACTTAAAAAAACTTATTATTAAAAATGTTGTGAATATTACCTTTTTTTCATTTTTCGTTTAAAAACCATAGTTTTTATTCAAAAAAACCTAATATTGTTATTTTTATAAAAAATATTTTTGTTTTTGAAATTTTTTAAATGATTTTGCTTCTTTTGAGTACCAAGTTGACATTTTTTTTTAAATAATTTTTTTTTCAATAATATTAGGGACCTGTCAAATGTTTAGGGGCTTTGAGCGACCTTCAGGGCAAATAATAAAATTTAGTAAAAAATATTTTTGAACCACAATATGATAGTTGAATGGGAAAAACTTCAATTAGCTATGTTCTGAAAACAAATTAGCATACTGAACAGCCCTAATATATATATATATATATATATATATATATATATATATATATATATATATATATATATATATATATATATATATATATATATATATATATATATATATATATATATATATGTATATATATATATATATATATATATATATATATATATATATATATATATATATATATATATATATATATATATATATATATATATATATATGCATATATATATATATGCATATATATATATGCATATATATATATATATATATATATATATATATATATATATATCAGTAGGGAGGGGGTTCATAATCATCTTTTTTTAAATTTTTTAAAGTTTATTAAATTTTTCTTATTTAGTTTTTCATGCTGATTTTCAAAATCATAATCATTTTTTTAATTTTAAATATTTAGCCTTCTACTTTGATTTTAATAAAAGTGAATATATTGACAAAAAAAGGCATTGTTAAAAATAGATGAAATTATTATTATCATTAAATATAAGAAAAGTAGAATAGTAGAAATCTTTTTCTGTTTAATTTATCAATAATATACCTTATGATTTATAAGTGACAAAAAAAATTAGGCATTATATATGTAAATAATTCATACAGTTTGCTATTTACTATTGAAAATGGAAAATAACTATAAAAGTCATTATATGTGATGACTTTTATAGTTATTCTAGGCTAACTTCTAGGTTATGAGCGTGTAAGATAACTTCTAGGTTATGAGCGTGTGACATAAGATGGAGGTTTGTATTTTTATATCAACAAGCATGTATTTATACAGAATAGACCTCCGCGACAATGACCTGTATTTTATCCCTAAAATAAAGAACCTCATTTTTCGAACTTTTTTTTCTTTTTAACATATCTTTATCTACTTCAATAATGTCTAATTCACAGCTAAATGGGCTGCCTTTTAACTTTAATTAAACTAAAATAGAACTCATCTTGCACACTTCATTTACAGTTTGCTGCTCTTCCATTGTTATCCATTTGTTTTTGTAGCTGGTTTCAACTATATTCCATAGTTTCAACTTTTTGGACAAATAATTGCACAATAATTTTCCAAAATAATTTTAAACTACGCGAACCTTCATTTTTTATATGGTTTAAATAATTAAGTATACATCTACTGTTGAAATTAAATGGATTTATTCCAAAGCTTTCCAACAGCAACAACTTAATTAGAAAGTTAATACTAATCATATTCCATCATCAACCAAACACATGTATAAATGATATCAATGAGTGATTTCATTTTGAAATCATATTGATATCATAAACGTCTCATATCATGATATCATATATATCATGGTTTGATATCATTTTGATATCAATATGATATCAAATTCCTGACTGGGTAACTAGTTAATTAAATTTTTTTTTTACTATTTTTAAACTTAAATTCATCAATTGGATTTAAAATTTTATCTCATAATCATTAAAATTTATGACCACGCTAAATTTACATCCCCTTTTCTTAAGGAAGAAAGAAATTTTAAATTATCATTAATTTCGAACATTAAAAGATTATAAAACGAAATTAGAAACCAATTTAAGTCTGATAGTTAAAAAAAAAACCATCCAAACTCATTGCACTCAAATTTAGGAGAGGTCCGGCAAATATTTTTTGGTTATTTTGTTTCCAGACCACAATATCTGAAATATCTGAACATAAAAACACCATATCACAAGTCACCACAATATTTTACATAACATTCTCATTTGAGAATTTACTTTACATTTGGATTGAGGACTATTTTTTTTATTTAATGTTTTTTATTTAATGTTACGATTAAAATTAAAAAATATTTTAATTTTAATTGTCACATTAAATAAAAAGGAATAAAAAAATACATAGTATAAAATATTTCAGGGATACCAGCAGGATTTTAGATGATTTAGATATAACATTTTTTTAGCATCTTGCAAACTCTAAACTAAAGTATTTTCATGCTTATGTCAAATGAGAATCGGAACTCTTTCAATTTAGGGAGGGTAAAAAACTTTACCCAACCAAAACCAAAAAAAGGTTTTCATTGACTCATTACCCTCACATGGGGCTAAAGTTGTCAAATATTTTAAAGTTGGCATTCTCATATATTCTCGACATAAGCATGAACATACATAATTTTTGAGTTTGCACAATGTCTGAAAGTATAATATCAATGAAATATCAGAAACATAAGTGTATATTAATATAAATATAAGTGTATATAAATATAAATATAATAAAGAAATATAAGTGTAAATATACGAAATATAAGTGAAGTATTAAAACCATCGTAAAATTCCTATCGGCGTTAATGAAACACTTTCTTTATTATCAGGTATTTTATATATAGATAATTATAGTTATATACACTCTTATACTGTTTAAAATAATTAAAAAACAACAAATAATGACTTTAAGTACAGCGCCTTACCAAACGCAAGTTGAATAGTATTAACTATTACACGCTTTTGCATACATTAAAATAAAATCGCTGCTTTGAAATTATATAAAATAAACATATTTAACAAAGACAACAGAGCGTAGCGTGACAATTAGGTGCAAGATAAGTTGCTATATATGCTGTCAAAGACGTTATCAGTAAGATATTAAGTATGCGATTAAATCGCCTTACTAAATAACGCGGCGTCCTTTATAATTTTAGAGGTGCATCTTATACACACTAAGGCATTTTAATCATTTTTTTAATTAAATATTAAATATTATTTTTACGGATCGTCAATAAATTACGCTATGCTAAAGTTCACTAATAAACAAAACAAAAGAGATCAAATTTTTTCTCGCTGAGCCTTAGTCAAAATAAAAAATAAATAAAGATTACTTTTGTTTTTTCAAATAATTTAACTTTGCGTTATTATGATAAAATATTATTCTTAATATTAAAAGTAAGGATAAAAACTTCTTTTAAAATAAACACTGCTCAGGAATCATATTATAAGTAATAACATAATTCTGAATTTACATTTTCAAGCAGTAAACATTTTATAATAAAAATTTTTATTTAAATTAAACTTTTTTATTTTAAATTCTTTAAAAGTTGTTATTTAAAACTTTTAACTAGTTAGTACAATATCACAAAAGAGATAAATGCATTGAAATACCTAAAACTTCTATGTGACGTTATTCATGGTATTCATCTGAGCCGAACGTCCGCAAAATTTTATATCCGCCATGATGGGTGGCATAAAGATATGTAAACAAAAGTAAAAATGGTAAAAACCTGTTGCGCACCATACTGTGAAACAGAAAAATTAAAGGTAGCACAATTCCTTTTCATAGATTTCCGAAAAAAGAAGAGCGAAGAAGGTTATCGATTGCTTTTTTAAATAGAAAGATTTTGCCGAATTTGGAGTTTGCTTACATTTGCGGTGAACATTTTATTACTGGTAAGTCAAGTCTTCTTGCGTAGATTTATTATGTTAAAATAATATATAAACATATGAGCACTTTTAAATTTACAAATACATATATGCATGTATATGTATATATATTTATATACAACAATATATATATATATATATATATATATATATGATTATATTTTTGTATATTATGTATAGTTAACTTGCTGACCTTGTTCTTTCTATTAAAAAAGTTAACAAAAACAATAACGATATACCTATTGAATTTAATGACATGTCATGTTATTCATCAAGGAAAATATATTCAGAAAGATCAAATCGTTTAAAGAAGAGGAATGCTGAAAAAATGCTTATTGAAGAGAATAGTATTAACAGCTGTTTGCAAGAAGAAATTGTTGAGGAACCCGAAACTGTCAAAATTATAAGGGAGATGAGAGAATAAAACGAGAAGTTAAAAAACTTAATTAAAAAACTAAAAGAAGACAGTGAAGCAGAAAATGATTTTCTTAAAAAGGAAAATATGAAATCAAAATATATTATACAAAAAATAAAAGATATAAATACTGCACTCGTCAAGAAAAACAAAATATTGAAAAATCAAATTGATGAGGTTACTTTTAAATTAATAAAAGACAAAAAGAAAATTCAATTTTATACAGGTCTTGCTGATATACATGTTTTTAAATATATTTTTAACTTAATTGAAAACCATGTGCCAGCTAATAATTCTTCAACTATTACAAAGTTTTAATTGTATTGTTTTAATGGAACTGCGTCAAAATTTGCTGGAACAAGATATAGCGTAATTTTTTCCTAAATGTGTTGTAATTATTGACTGCTTTGAGATTTTTATTGAAAAACCAAAAGATCTGATAGCTAGAGCTCAAACTTTTTCTAAATATAAACACCTTAATACTGTTAAAGTTTTAATTGGCATTTCTCCACAAGGCTCAATATCATTTGTTTCAGAAGCTTGGGGTGGAAGAGTATCTGACGTTTATATTAAAGAAAATTCTGGAATATTAAATAATCTACTTATTGGTGATCAGGTGTTAGCTGACAGAGTTTTACCATTGCAGATTCTGTTGGTTCATATTTTGCCGAATTAAAATTTCCTGCTTTTACACGAGGAAAGTCTAAGCTATCTCAAATAGAAGTTGATTGGGCGCGAGAGATTGCCTATGTACGAATACACGTTGAACGTTTAATTGGGCTCCTTAGAAATAAATACACCATTTTACAAGGAATACTTCCTAATAAAATAATTAGTCGAACTGATAATGGAATATGTAAACTAAATGATAATAATATTGATGAGTTCTTTTTAAATAATGCTTTGCGTCCTTTATTTCCATGCAAAACTCTTTATCATCATTTGCCAGTTCAAAGACCTTTTTTTTTTGTGCATTTAAATGGACATTTTATCTCAACTATGTATTCATGAGAACAGCATATGCATTTCATAATACCATCAGGAGTTGCTCCAAGGTATGGCCATATAGATGTTCTAAGCAAACCACAATAAAAAATTTCAACATTTTTGTGAGTTGTTAATAGATAGGATTTTTAATTTTTAGCTACAATTTCATTACCACAACCATACTTTGTTGCTTAGGTAATAAATTTATTTTCTGATGGATAACAAATTTGCATTATTAAATTTTTAGAAAGCATGGCTATATTTGAATTACAACAAGCTTTGAATTTACTAGCTGTGATAACTTCTGCGCATGCTCTAAACCATAAACTTGATTGAGATTGAGTTTTTGTATGATCTGAAATCAGTTTAATTTCATCTTCAGTTATTTTTATATCTGAAAAAGTTTTATTTGAAAGTTGCACGAGTTCATGATATTTTAATTGTTCATGTTCTCTTTTGTAAAAGTTAAAAATAATTGTATTTAGTTTTGCAACTACAGGTATATATTTGTTACTATATTCAGGAATTGTACGAAGAATTACATTATCTCTTGCATTATTTTATATTTTACTGTAAAAGTTAGCTATTTCTGTCTTACTTGGAATTGAAACGGAGAAGGCTTTTTTTAATATATGGTTTTGCTTGTGTTTTGTTCTTTACTTTTGCTTCAATTTTTTTTTTAGGATCAGTAAAGTTAATTTGTGAAAGTGGCAAATAAGTAACTTCCTAAAGGTTTGGCGGCAACCAAGCACACAATTGAGATGTACAAGCATCACCATTATTTCTTTTTCGATTATCAGATGTTAACATTAAATAAAATAATGTTGCTCCAATATGAGAACAGACTTCGCCTAAACCTGCCATACACGTGCAATGTGCATTTATAAATTGACCATCTTCTTGAACGCTAACCCATACCCTTGTTGTTTTAGAAACAAATGCACTGACCATGTCTTACACGACTGTTAACAATATAAATAGACTTAACACCATGAACTAACTTTACATTGTGAACACGACCACTGGTTACATAGTTGTAAGATTCAAGACCTTTATAATATTTTAAACTAGAACTTGTGATTTGACTTCGAAAGTTGATTAGATAGCTGTATATATCAGCAAAAGATAGATTAGGCTATTTGTCTACGTTATTAGTTAGTTCACAGTCTTTTTCGGATAAAGATTACGATCAAAAATAATCTCTAGAACTGATAATTTTTCTTCGTATCGCTTTTTTGCTTCCAAATTAAGACTCTCGTAATACTGTGATCGCATAATTTTAAGCAAAGAAGAATTTAAATTAGTTTCAACAGATCGGCTTTTAGTATTTAATATTTGTTTACATTTTTTTACCACCCATCATGGCGGATATAAAGTTTTACGGACGTTCGGCGCTCAGATGAATATCATGAATACTGTTACAGTACTATACATAAAATAACAGAGTAGAATTAAATTATTTAATTCTACTCTCTTCTTATATTCTACTAAGAATTAAATTATTTAACTCTATTACTTGGTGTAGTTAAGGCGATTTACAAATTATTCGAATTCTTTTATTTGAAAAATAGCATGATTTTATCACTATGTTATGTCCAAACAAGAGCTTTAGATGTTATAATTTTCTTTTGCTTTAATATTTTAAAAAAACTTTTCTTTGTTTGATATAAATTTCAAAACCTTTATACTACCCTTAATAGTGAATCTAAAGAACACCATTTTGGAGTCTTTAGATCAATTTCGCCTATCGGCGTTAATAAGAGCTTAGCTAAAATCTTTCGAAAAAGTGCCTTAACCTACTATAGATCCTAGTTCTAGTCGGTTCTGACGCATATTAACTATATATAGTTTTCAAAATACAATATTTCTATCTGTTTTCATATCTGCGATACTATATAATATAAAACGTTTTTCTAAAGACTTTATAAAATAAAAATCATTGGTCCTAAAGTCCTACTTTAACTTTTTGTTTTTGTATCGGTTAAGAAAAATCAACAGAAAAAGTAATTTGTACAAAGAAACTATATTACTAAAAGCATGCAAGCGAATGCGCATAATTCTGAAGCTTTCCATTTACACAAGCATATACCTTGAAATATGTGAATAATTCATATAAGCCATAAAGTTTTTATAAAAAAAGAAAAAGAAAAAAAACCGGCTTTTTTGCTCGAAATTATAATATATCGGCTTTGAAATCAATTATTAGTACTTGTTATTATATATGGATAATTGAGCGCCAAACCTGCGAATATGTTGAAACGAGATAATTAGACGCAAAGATTAAAAAAGTCTTTAACAAAAGCTACTAAACTGAAAAAATTAAAAGTATTTGCAGTTAAAAATTTTAATCATAGTATATCGGTGTTGACAAAAAAACACAACATAAATCTTTTTTAGAAACTCATGTTTTTTTAACTTTGTTTTATAGGCAGGTTTGGCGCTTAACCATCTATATTATAATCAACGAATAGGTTTTTAGATAAAATTTGTTTAAAAATAGTTTAATTACTAATATAGGTAGACACCTAATGTCGAGACTAGTGAGTGCAGCACCCATCCACCCATACCTATCATTAAAGCCCTAATTTTTGATAAAGTTTTCTGCTAAGTATTACTAAAACAAATAAGCTCTTTAAATTTCCCAAAGGGTCCCTAAATTTAAAAATGGGTTCTCTAAATTCGCTGGCCAATTAGAGGGTGTGTGTAGTCTAGCCACGGCTCTCTACCTCGAGATATTTGTCAAAATGGTTATAATAACAATACTAATCTTGATAATATTAAAATGAGTCACTTAGATGCAACAGTTATATTGGTAAACTAAAAAAAGTTACAGTTATCATCGACATATTGTAATTATCGCTCTATAAATAATTTTAAATTAGTTGTTTCACCATTCTGCTTTGTATGGAAATAAATCCATTAACTATCAAAGTACGTGAACAAACAACCTCCTAATCTAAAATCTTTCAGTTTAATTGCTGACAATCAAGTCTTTAAATGACTTGTTAAAAAATTTTTATTATGTCTATTTGACGTTCTTTAATTATCTACATATTTATCTCGTGTTTTTAAAAGACATTACCCAGTGGGCACGGAAGTAAAAAAAGACGTCTTTTAAACGTCTTATACACGTTTTAGACGTTTTCTAAACGTCTTTTGAACGTTTTGGACGTATTTTAAACGTTTAAAAGACGTCTTTTTTACTTCCGTGCCTACTGGGTAGTACACAGCTTATACACGGATTATATATTAAGTAGCGGTGACGCAGCGTTTTTTTTTCCCGTAAACAGTGGCTCCTTTTCTCGATAAGAGTAAATTTTGAAAAAACTTAACAGTTGGAAAAATTACAAATAAGTGTTTTATTGCACTATGCATTATTAGCGGAAAATCAGTGCAGTAGATTTGCATTAAAAATAAATGAAACTTTACCAATTATTTAGAAAATTATGCAGATTATTTTGAGATATGATGGTAAACACTGGAATAACTGGAACTAAAAATTAGAACCAAATAAATGCCATTTTCCAAAAAAAATCAAAATCAGATCTTATTAAATAGTTCAAAGTGTATAAAATAGAGATCTGGAGACGACATTTGAAAGTCATGAATTCTATGATCACGAGTAGTAGATGAGCCCGAGCAGACGCAGATTTCACTTGATTGCTAGTTATCAATACTGCAGGTCTTGGGTGGAATGCAAGAAGCGAGCTTAAGATTTAAATTCATACGTCAAGTCTGAAAAAAGACTTAAGCAAATGCAAAGAGCGAGCTTGAACTCAAGCTATACTTGAAAACCGGCCGTTTTCAAGTTAGACTTGAAAAGCCTACTTGAAAAAAAAATCTTTTCAGAACATAAGATACGAACTTAAGTTTCAATTTATACTTCAAATCAGAAGTCTGTCTAAATTGTAATGCAAAAAACAATCTTGAAACAAATTAGTTCTTTAAAAATCAGATTTCACCTCGTTTTTTGCACGTTAAGTACAGACCAGTCTTGAAAGCTAACTTGAATTAAAAAAAATCTTTATTTTCATTTTGTAAATAATATTTAAAAAGCGATATTTCTGATGATTTTAGTTAATATTTAATAAATGATGATATTTGAATAATAATAATAAAAAAATTTGTAAATAATATTTATTTTAAAAGTTCGGTACATAAGGCTTTTGTGTTTTGACGTCATAAAAGCACAAAAACCAAATACACGGATTTTTTGAATAAAATAAAGTTACAATTAAAATATCTATACTTAACTTACAAAAACCTTAAAATATGCTGCAATAAGTACACCATTTTTAAATTAAGATAAATTATTTAGAAACTGTTTAAAACCCTTGCAAGTGTTTATGTTCTGTCTGTATGTTTGTTTCTGTTTGTGTTCTGTCTGAACCTCGGGCGCGGTGTTTACTCGCCAATAAGTGTTTTACATTTTGGTTTTCTGTTTAAATATTTAAATTTTCTGTCTAAATGTTTAAAGGATTATGTCATAATTTGATATTTTTTGGCCCATATCCACAACAAGCCGATCAATTTTTTATTTTTACACCGATGAATCGTTAGTGTCTTAAGGATTATCTATCAAAAAATCCTAGCCCAAATATATAATTATATATATATATATATATATATATATATATATATATATATATATATATATATATATATATATATATATATAAAATATATATATATATATATATATATATATATATATATATATAAATATATATATATATAAATATATATATTTATATATATATATATATATATATATATATATATATATATATTTATATATAAAAATATACATTTTTATATATAATTATATATATATATATATATATATATATAATATATATATATATATATATATATATATATATATATATATATATATATAAATTTATAATTATGTATAAAAATATATAATTTTATTTTTATATATATATATATATATATATATATATATATATATATATATATATATATATTTATAATTTTTTTTTGAATTCAAAAATATTTTTAAGTTGTAGGGTGTAGTTTATATTGTTTGAGCGTAAATATGTAAAAAAAAAAAAAGGGCCAAAATGGTATGTAAGTTGGACATACTCTTTGGTTGCAGTGTGAACTCATTAACTATCTAGTTACTCCAACTATAATTTTACGTTCACCTTAATCTCTAGCATTTATTAGATGTAATTTTTTTCCCAAAGCATTTCCAAAATATTATGCCCAACTTTTTAAGGTACTGCTTGCAAAAAGTAGCTTCTTTTAAATATTACATGTCAGGTTCAGGATCATTAAGATCACCCTGATACTAATATCCTGTAACCCAGTACTACCTGCTCCATGTCCTGCTGCCTTGTTGGGTGTGCTTTTTTAGGCAAAGGCTAGAAAAAATTAAACCCAAATTAAAAATTCCCTGCGTTAGGGCTCTTGTTTGAGTAAAGGCTAAAGGTGGTATCTCTATAAAAATACTCATTTTGGGCAGATATTAACTGCATCCAGCTACTATCTCTTAGGAGGCCTCCTAGGTAAAAACTTAAGGGGTAAGCAAAACAATTTTGCTAACCAGCCTCGAATCTAGCGTAGTTGAAAACCTGTGGTACATTGTTTCCAACCTAGGATTATTAATACTAGATCATCTTGAATCTAATCATAGATTTTTGCTTGTTCCTCCTTGATAGTGGCTATGCAACTTCCTGCCACATAAAGAGCCCTATATAACAACCTAGGGTTAATTAACAGGACTGAGACAATTGCATATCTCATTTCTTAGAAGGCTGTGCTCTGTCTATGAATGAGTCAAGTTCTCTTTACACTTAAATTATGCCTAAAGTAACCCAAATTATTAAACATAAAAAGTCATCCTTACCATTAAAATTTTCTGTGTAAAATTTTCTTTCATCTTCTGTGCAGCTGCTACATCTAATCGTAATCATTTATTTCAACTTTTTCAGATAAACAACTCTCTAGAGAACAAAAAACTACTGCAAGAAATTGATTTAAAAAGGTGCAGTCTGAAGCTAAGCTCTATTATTCTTAATTCAATTTGTCTCGCATCTTATGTAAGAGTTAGTAAATATGTCAGGCTCTAAAGACTTTTTTAAAATTTTTTACAGCATATTTAACAAGGGTCTAACATTTCATCTCA